ACCCTGTAACAAAATTGCAGACTGTCAACTTGAACACTTGTTAAAATTACCACCCCATAATCAATTGAAGTATTTCAGAGGCATCACAAATACACACTAGTATAGTCCCACTGTAGACATGATGACACAATGTGATTTTACCATAAATCATGATTATGTAGGAAAAAAAAAAAAAGTTTATCAGTAGAAAGGTACAATACCTGGAAACGATGAGTTAGTTCCGAAATCAGGGGATATTGCTCCAGATCAAAGAAGTTCTGCAGTACCTCTGGGGATACTAAACCAAGATCAAGTCCTTTTTGAAGGTCCTGTTATGCAAGTCAAGAATCATACTCATGAAAAAATAAAATAAAATAAAAGGGGCCAATGTCCTCAGGCAAGTGAAACAGAGAATTTCTTTGTAAAGGAAATAACACTTGAAAGGGAAAAAAGGTCATGGACTCTAATCTAACTCTTTTTTCCTAAAAAAATTAAATAAAAAAATAAAATAAATAAAATCAGTTAGTATAAATTCCAATACATGTAATCTGCACATTTTCACAGATCATTTATTTAGAGGGAGTAGGACAACAAAAATGCCTTAAATACACCCTTAGTTTATCCAAGAAAGATTTTAAACAATCAAGGGAATGAGATAAAACACACATCTCCATTAGAAATAAGAAGCACTGCTTACCTGGGGTAGGGCATCACGCCTCCTGCCAGCTGCATTCATTACTCTAGCAATTTCAGCCCGATCAAAACAGTTCCTATTGCAGGGTCTGGCTGCAGAATACCACAAGAAATCAGCAACAGGGACTTCTCCCTGTCTTCTTATGTACTGTCTTTCAGGATCAAGTAGTACAACTACTTGGTTCTTCTTTTGCATCTTCTTTGATATTCTTGCTGGAAGCCCTGTCCCCCTTGATCCATATTCAACATGGCTTGCACCTGTCACCACTACTAACATACTGGAGCCTCCTCCATCTGCCACTGCTTTTAAAATAATTTGGGACATAGTATGTTCCTCAACAACTCTTGCTTGTGCAGATAAATATGAGCTTGGACCAAATGGAATCAATTGAGTTGGAAGATTCATATCCATTGATGATCTGTGTGAAATAGGTGGAAAGCCTGAGATGAAGCCTGAACCAGCTGGAGGAGCATACATCTTCCGCTCAGCTTTAGAAAGGCCATGAATACCTTCAGCTTGTACAGTCCTTAGGACCTAGATCAGAAAGATTAGAATGTTTCCCATAGCCACTATATGGACTTGTGCACAAACTAAAATAATAGAATGATGATGATAGCTGAATGGAACACAAATGAAAATGTCGAAGATCAAAGAATAACAGTCTGTATTTCAAAGATAATAACACCAAAGACTAGATTTTAGATGAAAAATGAAAATTTAGAGTACCTTTAGTGGAGTACCACAAGCAACAACTCGAATTGCATTATCACGACAGTAATTCAAAAGAGGCTGGTATTCCTGCCAGCTTTGAGGTGGCCAATGGGAGACAAAAGACTTCAACGTCTCTTCACCTATCCTGTTATTATATAGGGAACCCTCAGGACAAGGATTGAGAAATGGAAAACAAGATATAGAAATCTCCAAAGGGAACTAAAGCCAACAACATATCAAAAAGAATCATGCTATCATTTTTATCCAGTTTAAGACTATTTCATCAAGCAGTAGCCTTGGTAGAAGTGCATTTGGATAGAGCTTTTGCGGAAGCGTTGAACCATGAATTCATATATATTAAATCATAAAAAAAATAAATAAAGTGAAATTAATAAAAAAATGATCAAATTAGCAGCTAACAGCAAAAGATAACTTTGTATCTTCAGTTTTATCTTCAGTTTCTAGCCCTTTTAGAAGTTGAATTCAGCTTTTAGAGAAGTCAGAAGCACCTTTCACAAGCTTTTGCAGCAAATAAAGAGTACTCTTCATTTTCAGAAGTAAAGCAGGAACTAAATAAGAAACTTAATAATATCAAAGAAGGAACCTTTGATCCATGTATTGATTGAGCTGCTCCTGCAAATCGCAAGGAAAAGCCTCCATTGCCAAAGCCAACTCCCTCTCACTCTCAACACACCGCTTCTTCAAATTCTGCACAATCTGCAGCTCCAATTCTTTATCGTCTCTGATTGGAACCTGCTCAGCTTCCCCTAAATACACGACTCTAGCATTCATCAGCTTCTCCCACACCATTGTCTTGTCCTTACCCACCGCCAGCGGCTCCCCTATGGTCGTAGCATCGTAGATCCTCGCCGCCACTTCATCCTCTACCTTCTTTACAGGCGATGAAGTGATTGACTGAGGAGGAGGAGGAGAAGTCGCTGGCGCCGCCGGGGGAGGTGATACGAGCTCCTCCGCGATTGAAGGGGATGACGATGCTTGGAGGAGGCACGCGCCTGCGGCAGCAAGGAAGGGTGTGAACAGAACGGCCCGTCTGTTGGCGGAACATTCATTGGACTGGGGGATATTCTGGCGGGGATTGAGCGAGACGACAACCTGGCGGTTTCTAGCGAGGGTGGAGGCCTTGGGCGGGGAAAGGGAGACGTGGCGGGGTTTGGAGAGGCAATGGTACCGCAGGGGAGTTTGAAGTGGAGCATGATGTACAGGTTTAGAAGCGTGCGGGTGGGGCATCGTCGCTTTGCGGCAAATAACGTTGAGTGGGCACGGCCTTACATGGCTAGGCTGACGGAGCTAAAGAGAAGCAGGAAAGAACTGCCGTACTTTTTTTGGATGTTGAAATGGTTGCGCTTTATTTCCACTGAAAAATATTTGTATTTTTGTTTAAGATGAGGATACGAATGCCAGATGGACAATAATTTGAGTGGATGAAGTTTAGTGAATACGGATTCATTTTTGTATGGGAATCTAAGGTGGATGGGAAATTTTTATGGCTGCAGAAATAGAGGGGAATGTGGCAAAACTTGACCCTTACACATGGAATGGCCGCGGCCAAGGATGAATTGACTTCGTCAACAGCATTTGCAACTAGATGGCGCAACCACATCATCAAGATCTTACTGAGAATCATAAAACAGAACATACGGAGTTTGCTAAAATCCACGCTATAACCTTGTATTTGCCTTCAAGTTTTGACAGCTGCCTAATCCTTCACCAAATCCAAATTCGTTGACACGTAGTGCTTTATTTTATTATTATTATTTTTTAACAAGATTACAATTTGAAGTGTAAGGATTCGAATCTCAATTCTTAAGTTAAGAGATGCACTTTATAAGTAAACTTATAAACATTTTGTCATGAGACCCAACTACTCATGCAGTGCTTTATTGGGTATCATACCATCCATAACTTAACAAAAACCTACTTTTAACCATTTATCTTACTAAATTTGTAAGTTTTAACTCTTTACCTTATATTATGACATTTTTAACCCCTCACTTATTAGAATTAAAGAAAATACACCTTATAACATTTTAATAGTTCTGTTAACTAAATATTAACTCTATTTAACTCTATTAGTTGACTGTTAACTAACAAAAACTTACTTTCAGTTAATAGAATTAATAATCAACTAGCAGAATTAATAATCAGTTAACAGAACTAACGAAATATTATAAAATGAGGACTATTTTCTTCAATTCTAATAGGTGAAGAGCTAAAAGTGTCATAATATAAGTGAGGCTAAAACCTGCAAATCTAATAAGGTAAAGGTCTAAAAGTAGGTTTTTGCCCCATAACTTTGTATTAGTATGCTAAAAGGATGGAAATCATTATCAAGTCACACAAACAAAAATTAATGTCTGCATTTGCAAGAAAAATAAATTGAGGAAACCAACTCTTCTAAATGAGTTGAGCCGAGCATGGACTACCACTTATTTTTTAGCAATACAGTCCAGTCCATAAGCAAACAAATGTCAAATGCTACTTCTTGCTGAACAAAGCTGTCTAAAGCTCAATCATGATACAAGAACTTAACCTAATACAATGATAAGCCACTTTCAAACCTTTAATGTTTATGAATTATTCTTGGACTGATGCTAATTCAACTGGCCAACAACAATGTTGAATGTACATTGCAAAATATACCTATGTTTTTGGTTGCTAGTAAGTAGTAGAGTGAAGGACTTGAGAAGACAAGCTGCAAGTGCAAACCTTAGAACTCTGCATCATGATCCCAGCAAAAATTTACCACAGAAAGGAGGAAATACTCACTTGATACCATGAAATGATGGCAGGACAGCAACGAGTGGGTCCCCATAACCAATAGCATCTGTGACATGCAATTGAAATTCGTCAAAATAATAATAAATAAATAAATATCAGTGGGTCTGTTTTATTGCAAATTGATCAAGAGTGCATTATTATCCCTTTGTTATGTTCACAGATTTATCCTTACAAAAAGAATATATATTACAAGATAAAATAAAGTATACCTCCATCATTAGCGAGCAGCTTTAAGACTTCTCCAGCCACATCTGCCTGCTCAAAAAGAAGTTGTCAATACATCACTAAAAGGTTAATTCAATCATAAAGGCAGAACCATGATTAATAAATTGAAATGATGAACACACCCTCACAGGAAAGTGGGTGCCAAACTGATCCAAGTATCCTATCACTTGTCCTTCTTTGATCATGCTACCCTGCAAAATTTACAATTTCAGATTTTCAGGATTAAGAAAATCAAACTAAGCAAGTCATATAGCATTAAATTACAAGCTGTGTGATTCAAGCACTAATAGAATTCACTATAGAGGCACACAGATATAGCACATTTAGAGTTTACTTGAACCAAGCATACATAGATATCTTAATATGTCCTACTCTAATAGTACAGATATGAATCTTCAAAAAATGGTTTTTTTCTTTTTTAATGTATAAACTAATATTTTAGTACAGCGGCTTATTAAGATTTATTATGATTTTACTGCAGCAGAAAAAAATAAAAAAATTAAACTTTTGCTTATGTGATAATCAGCTGACGGATACAAGCACTTGTGCATGTTTAAAAAACTAGACGGACAGATTAAGCAACAAATTAACAATCTTCACCACTTCGTAAAAGGTTCTTTTGGTCATCGGTTCCTGTAAAGTAAGATAACTTGAAAATATAATAGTTTTTATAGGCAGCCATACGTCTTTACACATTGGAGGTAGGTTCTTTCCTTTGACTGTTCTACCCCTTCAGAATGAACCAACCTGCCACAAGTAATGTGACATACTATGAGGACAGAAGTTCCGAAGGAGGGAAAGAAACGACCTTACCATCTGTAAGCAACACATACCGTTGGAGAAGATACCAGGACAAAGTTATCAGTCCCAGAAGCCTCCAAGGCTGCTAACTTTGATGACTTTCCAAAAGAGACATTGGTAAAGGGAGTGGTCTTTTCTGGAGAGAATTTTGGGGGTGGAGCTGATGGGGCAGCAGCAGCTGCAACAGAAGGTGATTCATTCATAGCTTTAGCTGGAATAGGCAGTGCTGTCATGGGTGAAACACTAGATGCAGGAGCCTTTTTTGCTCCAACATTCCGTTTCAGATGCATTTCTATGTCTCCAATCTGTCAAACACACACACACAAATAACCTGCTAAGGCAAAGTACAATATCAAATGCCAATACATACAAAATGCCAGGAACCCAAAGCTGGGCCGCCAGCAGGGCTTTACAACTAAAAATCTGATTGGCATTCAAACTTTCATCAGTCACGATAATTACGTAAGTTCTGATGTTCAAAATTTTTGGAATTTCAAGGTGAATTATTGATAAATAACAAGGTCGGTCAAGCAATATGGTGACATGAGAAGAGCCAAGGAATCACCTTCATTTTCAACTCAGCAATCTCTGTCTCATCACAAACCTCTAGCATCAATTCCTGAAATTTTGAAAATAAGAAACATGCCAATTAAGCATCTAACTTCAATTGAAGTAAAGCCATCATTTTCAGACCAATAGAAAATATACACCAAGATCAAGATATAATATCACAAAAAATCAAAGAAACTAAACGACCTCCAGACAAGTAGTTTAAGATAAGTAGTCAACATATTAAGTGGGTAAACATTCAGCCTTTGATCTAATTCACAAAAAGTTTAAGCAAGCTATATTCAATATTTAAAAAAATGTATAGAAATCTTTCTTTCTCTCACAATTCTCCCTGATCTGCATCATTGATCAGCAAAAGAAATTGAGTCTAAAATGGAAATATGTTTACAAGCTCTAGATATGCAAAAAACTACATTATGACACTGTGAAGTGTGAACGAATGGGATTTAGAAGATGAGAGACAATAAGTAAATCACAAATCAACATGAAAAAAAGCAAACAAATCATCATGAATCATTTTTGAAGCATCAACAAAGAAACTAGGAGATGATTATCAAAGATAGGAAGGATAGTAAATCTCAAGAACTTAAACTCACCTCGAGTCCTGGAAAAGTTGCAGTCTGCAAAGTTTTCTTCTCCAAGTAACCTTTGCAGCAACATTAGATGAAACTATGGTCATCATAGTGAACAACTTTTGAGTTCTAGATTGCTAATTGCCAAACCAAGAGAAATAGCCAAGTTCAAGCAATAATGTATTTACATAATACACAAAATCCAAGCATTGTGCTCCATGGCAACTATAAATCAAACAGAGGAAAGTGAATTTGCAAGTTTGAAATTTGAACAGAATTAAAAACCCAATGTGAGTGTCAATAGCCACAGTTCAATAACAAAGGATTATTGAATTTCCAGTGCAAAAGTGAACTTGCCAAAGAACAAACTGGAATAAATATAAACTCACCATTGGAGTTGGATGTCACAGTAGATTCTGGTGTCTTCACATACGATATTAGAGATACATTTTGCCATTTTGGAGAAGAATTTGGCCTCCCACCAGCCACCAAACCAGAGACATGGGATATTTTTAGAGTGCGCCAATTGCCATTGGGCAAATAAGCTGTAGCAGGCTTTTCATGTAAAATTAGTGCCAGTGAAACAGTGCCCAAAGATCCTCAAATTTAACAATAGCATATAAGCCTCCAACAGAAGATAAGATTTTCACAGGAGTAAAAGTAGTTTCCACTCTATAGAAGAAACAAAATTCAATATCATATCTGCGCCTACCTGGTCTAAATGATCTGTTTTTGGACAATCAAATGCCCATTAGCCTAGAACATAAAATGTACCATCATGGCCACCAAAACCTGAAACAGCTTCTTCTTTCCTAATACAAGTAGTTCGCCTAGCTAACCAGCTTAAGAAACTGCCAGTCATTTCACAATCCAATAGCTACACACAGCTCTGGACACCACAAGCAAACAGAACATAGAGCAGATCTTTCCATCTCGAGCTAAGAACTCCAAAATTTCACATGGAACTTTCAGAAAGAATTACAAAACAGATATAAGATACAAGAATAAGATCTGAAAAATTCATCACTGTCTATTCCATTCCGATTCTCTTCACAGAAGAAGAAAGAACGAGCAAACACTGCTCAAAATCTCAAATGCCTAGCTCTCTCCTACTTTCTCTTCGTTTCCAGCAAACCAAACAGAACTCGACTTGCAAACACAAATCAATGGAAATGTATTGAGTGATAGAACTTACAGTGAAAGGATCGGAGAGCAGCGGAGCAGTCCACGGAAGAACAGAGGATGCGAACCGCGAGGAGTCACGGAGGAAGCTGAGGAAGGAGAGAGATGCAGGCACTCAGGTACAGAAACGGGGGTGAAATCGAGAAGAAAGGAATT